GACTCCGCTCTTCATTATGTTCAGAGCCAGGTGGAATGAGTTTCCGAGCATCTATCAGTGAGATAGATGCTGCTGAGGTCCAGTGTTGCTCCCTAACCTTCTGGTTTACCTTGCTAGTAGATATCACTGCTGTTTCCACAGCTTTTCGGATATCATTCCATGCTGCATCGGGGTGGGCATCACTTACATGGCTGCCTAACTGTTTTCCTAGTTGTTCCTGAAATATACTCTTAGCTTGACTATCATTAAGTAGGCCCCTAAGAGGTTTCCTTGCAGCGTCTTTCCTACGTCCAGTAAGACGCAAGCAAATACGCGCTCGCACTAGAGCATGATCTAAATCTAGGCATGTGCTCCAGAATGAGCGACAGTCTTCTATCGAGCCCCTCCATCGGTGGCTGATAGCGATGTGATCTATTTGGGTCCAACGTTGGGACGAATTAGGGGGTCGCCATGTTAAAAGATGTTTATCCTTATGCTTAAAGTTAGTATTTGCAAGGAACAGGCGGTTATCTGAGCATAGCTGCAACAGACGGTCGCCATTATCTGTTCTTTGAGCCACGACACCATAAGATCCACCTAGGTGTCTTTCCCTATCGCTTAGTTTACCTACTTGAGCATTAAAGTCACCGGCCACTATTACTACATCCGAGCGCTTAGATTTTCGGAGAAGGTCCGAAATCTTTCTGTAAAACTCATCTTTTACATCATCTGAGCTGCAGTCAGTGGGAGAATAGGCAGAGATGACGAAGAGGCAACGACGAGTGTCCCTATCTTTCCGGATTCTTACTGTTCCGTTCAGTCGGACAGCGCACAAACGACTGTCTACTGGGATCCACTCTAAGAGAGCTAGTTCTGCCCTAGGACTCAATGCTATACCTACGCCGGCGAGGCCACGGGAAGCAGAATCAGGGCTTCCAGATACACGAAGCGTAAATCGAGTCGGTTCTTTATTTTGGCATGGTGAGGTCAAATGAATGACGCTACTTGGATCCTGTATGCGCGTTTCGGAGACGCAGCACACATGGATGGCGCGAGATTCTAAAGTTTTAGCTAAGGAAGCCTGCTGTCCTATTTGGCAAAGTGTTCGTACGTTAAAAGCTCCTACGTGTAGTTTAAAGCGTGGTTTCAGGAGACCAGGAATGGCGTTCCACGTACTCGAATCGTTTGCCCTAGCGGTGCGAGGTGATAAAGAGACGTGAGGAGGGTTAGTCAGGGAGATAAGAGAGGTATTAGGAGGTGTAGGAAGGATTTGAATGTGACCACCTTGGTCTCTTGTGCTGTTACGGGTATGAGGGCTGATGTCACTTCCCGGCTGCCCACCGTGGAAGGGTATTTCTTGAGGAACCTGAAAAGGAAATTGGATTAGTGTTGGTCTTGACGACCTGGGAGCGTGACCACAGAGCCCAAGGGACAACTGCCTGAGGCCGGTCGCGCACGGCCTTTTCGTGGGTTTTTTCGACGTGTTAGCTCCGTTCTTCAAAGGGCCTTACCGCCGGAGACGGAGATCCGTGAGGTAAGGTGAGGTGTGACATTTTTAGGGTCGACCTTTTCTAACCCCACCCCTCCTTGTGGGAAGGCAGCATCGCTGTCATGCTGGTTGTCCGAGGGAAATACCTTACTGCTGTCACACCTCTCTACAGTCAGCAGTACGACTTCGCCCTCAGACCTTGAGTTGCTGTTTTTAGTCTTACCGTTCACCAATCGACCTGCCTGGCATGGTAGAACCTGCAGGAACATATGTTCCAGCCAATATAGCTCGGTTGGGTCATCACGATAGGCAAGCCCGACCACCGCGTCAAGGAAGCAGCTTCGATCGGATCATCAGTGAAAAAATGGGAACAATAAAGATTCTAAGAAGTATCTAAACTCAGTAATCTAAAGGCGATATGCTTGCCACATGATCAGAAAGTTCTAGGGTGTTTTATAGTATTTCTTAGACTGTTATTATTCTGTAGTACAAACTAACATCGAATTGATCAATCCAAACAAACTGTCCTCGGAATAACAGATACTGTCTCTGATAAATCTCGATTAAGCAATGAGAAGATGAAGGTTATCAGAATTATATGATATATTTGCGCAATATATTTCGAACAATCTGATCACACATATACTTGCTAAGACATTTTTATATGAAAACTAAAAGATCAACTAGACAGGTTAAAGGTGAGCCGTAACAAAGAAAAATGAAGTACACAAAAGCAATGTGATAACAGATCAGTACTACCAGGGTAGGTTATTGAACACATAAAGGGGGGGGGTCAGTTTCCATATAGCCAAGGCTTCAATCAACCTTACTATGCGCCCTTGAAGGCTTTTGTACGACACTACAAATACTGACTTAATATCAACCTTATGACCAGTCTCAACCAAATGTTTCGCAATGGAGGAAGATGTCTGTCTGTCCTGTGATCTTATTTTACCATTGGAATTCATTTGTTTCTGCAGCCATTTGTGTATGTGTTCCGCCACCCTGTTATTGTTAATTCCGTAAATCTCATTACCAATATTAGGTAAGTTTGGACATTGACCACATTAATAATATGATCAATAATAAGAAACAAAATAAACAAGGTCATTGATAATTAATTCACTGCAATATACGTTCACTAAACCTTTCGATGTTTTAGTATAAAACAGAATGATTTTCGTTTGATAAATACCTTTATAATATTTCTTATCTGCGCACTGTTCATTAGTGCATTATTATGCATATTCCTTGCTGATTATTGCAATTTCTGATTGGAATGTTTCCGTTGTTACTCAACAGTACCCATGACTATTTAAAAAATAGCTAGACAACAAACAAATCGATCTACATTTGTTTGAGACGATACTAAATAATTTAAGGTATTTTGTTAGAGCGGTAGGTTAAAAAGATAATTGGCGTTAGTTACCAGAGTTTATTTCTGACAAGTGTTAAGTAATTTACTCTTCTTTAGAAAAACTTAAATATAGACATTGGTTATCAACCTAATTCATTAAAATTACCGTTAAAGTTTGTTAGATCACTGATAATTGGCATGCTACTAATGATTGCTTAGCTGATTTAAGAAAGATCACAATTATACACATATTGATCAAATGCAAACCATTGAATCCCGGCTTAGTTTTCGAAACAAATTGTCTCCATCATGGGCCCTGAAACTCCTTAGTCCAATCTTGAGCGGAGTCAAGGGCATATGGTAGTGAGAAGACAAAATGATAGACATCATCAACATAGAGCTTGGCACAGATATGCATTGCCTAAGTTGCCATACCACATTAGACCTATATAATGTAGTAGCAATGTTAAAAAGAAAAACCAAACCTTGAGAATTTGGTCTGAAAAAGTATAGTGAAAAGACATATATGAAAAGATACTGGAATTTAAGATTGAAAGAAAGATGAAGGGTCAGTAAATCTTCACCATTGTGAACGGTTCTGGGCGATGTCACCTATAGTCTTCAATTACTGACCGTGGGCATCAACCCGGTAGTCAACATCTACCATGATAGCTCAGAACAAGTCAACCACTTCGTGGGCGGATTCCATCAGAAGTCATGTACTAGAATAAAACTGCTTCCTTTTGTTCCACTGTTTTTAAGTTGTCTATGTAGTCAATTCGTAATGTAAACCACTGTTATACGAGTATTTTTTGATAAGTATCAGATGTTTCTAAAGTAAAAAACACACACTTACATGGTAAATATATTGAAATACCTTGCTATTTTCTGAGATAAATATAAAAGGCTTTCGAATTATGAGTTTGTAAGTTAAAGTGCTTCGATATCCTTCGACTTTCCTTCTTTCAAACGATCATGGTATATAACGATTATATAGAGACATCAAAATATATCTCTATAGGATATTGTGATCAATATCGGTTGAATCAAAATTTAGCAATACTGATAAAAACTGCTCGTTAAAAGGTATGTCAGTTGAATTAAACTAGACTACATTATAGTGTTAGTTTACATTATTAGGCTATATAACATACATTTATTCGCCAGTTCATACTTGTAATAAATCTCCTTCTATAATAAAGACCACGTAGATCAAATCTAAAACATGTGACAATGTTATCAAACTTTTTAGTTGTGACATTTATAATTTTATGGTATCAGTAAATCTACTTTCATATAATAAATTATTTATTCATTAATAGTGAATTTTACTCGACTATAGTTTATTCAAGATCCAATCGAATAATAATTAATGCAAAAAATAGACCAATGTGTTCAAAACCTGTATTTGGTGTAAAATAAACTTATATCTGTTCATCTTTTCTTCTAATTCACGTTGATTTGTCTTTGCTCGCTTTATACAGTTGCTGCTATTCTATAAATCTGAATTCTATATTTTAACTGTCATTTCATTGCATCTCGATATGACCCAACTTCACAATATTTTGGCACATGTTGAAATTTGTACCACAATAAGTTCTGTTATAGTCATTTTGAATTTCATTGTTTAATAATCCATCATCTACCCATCACTTACTGTTTTGTTCGGATTGACCTTACTCAATTGAAGAGATACGAAAATTTGAGACGTTTAAGTTAATTGGTTATCTAATTATCATAAGAATGATTATATATATATATATATATATATTTGCCAGGGTAAAAGTGATGTGTTAGGGAAAATAAATAGATTTCCTTGGGACCGTGACATCAGTGCATCATATTATTTCTATCATAGGATAAAACCAAAAGCTCACTTAAAGCCGGAATATACTAATTTGGACAAAACATTGACAATCGTGGTCTACAGCCGATAAGACGTGTAGTTAACTCATGTTTTCAGTTGTATGTTGCATGGGAAAAGCAAACAAGTTTAATATTCATCCTAGCTAATACTTCGTTCACTATCTTGTACGTTTAGCACATATCTCGTCTTTACATGTAACTAGTTAGTATTTGAATTTTTTTCGTATCTTCAGCAATATTCCAGTACTTCACTTCATGTCTATACAGATAATAATTATCCTTCTTAATTAAAATCCTATTTGCAACTAGAATTACAGAAATGTCCTCCTGCAGTACACATCAATTGTCATCTTCAAGCGACAAACAAGCTCGAGTTCATCAAATGCGTGTCGATGAGTGTTTATCGTTAAATCATGTGTTAAAAACAGATTCTTATGATAGTTTACATAGAAAGGTCCAAAAGAATAGTCCTCTAAAACCTGCAATTACATTGAAACAACTTCTGAACAATAAACTTGACGGTGATACTCTTCAAACAACCAATCTGATTAAAGATGAAGTAAGTAAACAGAATTAAAAATGTATTTCATGTATGTCTGTATAATTGTAGCATTTTACGTTCAATCATTTTTAAATCTAGCAGTGTAAAGTTGACGATCTTTTCATCTTCGTGAAATTAGTGTCTAGTACTATGTCAAGCCTACATGAGTTTTTCTAGCTGTTATATCTTGAAAAAGCTGATTTTTCTTGATACTACCGCGTATAACAGAGCACTTAAACACCAAAACCCTTCCAAGTCGCAATAAGAAGACAGAAGACTAATGAAAGGAATATTATTCCAAACAGTGTCAAACATAGTACAAAATTGTCAGGTATTTATAGTTTTGAGCGAGAACGAAATCATCATTACAGTCTTCCAATCCGCATACAGGGGGTTATTAGCATTATCCAATCGGGAAGCTACACGTTGGAATTCTAGAACATTCTTCCGAAAGGTGATTGGATGAGACGTCTTCGGCTCCTTCTGAGCCTCTTACAGCTTCCTCGAGTTCACCGGTGGTCCGTCGTCACACCTCCCCCCTTTAAAGTCCGTTGTGTAAGATTTTTTTCTTGGATCCACCTGAAGCTTGGGTGTCGCATTCCTCTTGCGGTCCATTACTCTCGAGGGTTGTACAGCTTTCTCTCTGCGTCGTCGATATTTGCGCTCATGATGGTTCTTCTGAGATGAATCTACGGGCAATTGAAATGGGAGCCGGTTTTCTGTGACCACTGTACTATCGTTTCTTTGCATTTGATTTATATGTCTTATGCATTTCCCGACACCTTTCCGGACTAGGTACAGTATATTTCCAATTCGACGTTCTATGACACCTGGTTCCCACTTCCTATTACCTTGATACGATCTGACAAGTACCTTTTCACCCACCTGGAAGCTACGATTGACCTTACGATTTTCATTCGTGAGTTTATTCGTCTTTCTGGGCGGCAACATACTGTTAAAAACTGTCCGGATTTTCCTTCCGACCATACACTCGGCCGGAGACTTTCCTTCTGGCACTGTCGGATTAGGGGTAACTCTGTAAGACATCAAGAACTTATTAATCACTTGTTCCGGGATACCCTCACCTCCCCCTTTGACCAGAGCTCTTTTAATCGTATCCACGAATCTTTCTGCCTGGCCATTCGACTGAGGATGGTACGGAGGAGATTGTAGATGCAATATGCCATTTTCACTGCAAAAGCGTTTGAAGGCGGATGACATAAACTGAGTACCATTGTCGGTCACTAAGATCTCTGGAACCCCAAAACAAGCAAATAATCCTGACAATCTTCTTATTGTACTCTCCGATGTCATTTTCGGCATGTCATATACTTCTGGCCATTTTGTGAATCCATCGACAATAACCAAGTAATTCTTATCGTGGATCGTCTTTTAGTATTTTACCGAAGTGTACATCTCTGCGTACTCACCATAAAACTATTACCTTATTTCTGACTAATTTACATTAAAATAGACCACATAACAACCTTTCTTTCATTTCATATCAACTAATTGCAGTTACGCTAATAACGTTTTGATACTTCATTATAACAAAATAATTTTCAAACAATTGTATGTAAAATTCATTTCATAGCAATTAGATAGTATGATAAAAACTTGCAGTTAGTTCCTAAAATCATTTTTAATCAGAAATCCTATTTGGTTCAATATCTTGTCTAACTGATTTAACTCTATTTATTTATTTATTTAAACACAAACCGATACGAGAAGGCACCAAATATATATGCGTCACACAAATCATTCAATTTGTGTATGGGCTGGAATACTGCCCGGGCGCCCAAACCGAAACAGGTAGTTTTCTTAAGGGGTCACACCCCGAGCCTTCGAGATAAAGGTCTGGTCCACAAGGCAGTGGAGCAATGTCAAGAAATGCAGTCCCATGGTGGCCGGTAACCAACGATTGGTTCATACACCATTTGTTCCTCAGAATCCTGGGGCCCATGTGCACAGTTGGTTTGGAGTCAGGGTTTTCCAACTTCCCTAGATGGATCCTCCGTATCCACCAACCCGGTTAAGGTGCCAAACATTCGTTTTTCGTCCTCTCAATTTCGTAAACAACACCCCCGCCACGAGAAGACAGTGAGTAGAACTTCTCTGACAGTGGCTGTATGTGCGTAGCCATGTGAGAGCACTTCGAGAGGGAGAGCTGAATTTCTCCACTCTCGGCCGTACCAGGGCATTTGGGGGCCACTCAACTTTAAATTTATCCTTATCAAAGATTGTGAATCCTTTAAAACAGCTTACTTACGCCTCTTACCCCTCGTGGAGGAGCATAGACCGTCCGCCAGAATTCTCCATCGAACTCTGTCCTGAGCAATCCTTTTCAGTTGTTTGCAGATGCTTTTGATTCCTGCTTCCAATGCTCGACGCATTGTGTTCCTTGATCTTGCTCTTTTCCGTTTCCCTTCAGGATTCCAAGTTAATGCTTACCTCGTGATGCAGTTCGATTATTTCCGCAACGTTATGTCCTATCCATTCCCACTTAAAACAGCGACATTTATATTAATTTGTGATTGGAAATCATATCTATTGAATGTAGCTCATTTTAGAAAACCACCAATTTTCAATCGTGAATACCTTCGAAATAATTATCGTTTTTATTCAATCCAGTAATTAAAATGATTAGTACTGAATTCTAAACATAGAAAGAAAGTCAATTGATAAGCTTATATCACCTTGCAACTGAGTTAGTAAAGTTGTATTACATATATTGCAGCACTGCCTAATAGAATTTCACTAAAAGTATTTCCAAACGGCTGAGATAACTTACACGAACATGACGAATTACTAACTGGCTAGATTGGAAAACAGGCAGTGATTCATATACTGTACGAAATATGGATAAAAAATAAACAGAATTACCAATACTTTGATTTTTATTGATTCTGTGCATCATATAAGATTGTCTGTTTGTTCCCTTTTTTTGACTACCCATATCCTTTTGTCATTTATTTCCACATATTTGTTTTTTTTTTTCGTTTTTGTCATTCGTTGATGTTCCTTTTTGAACGGAACTTTTATATAGCAACTCAGCTTAGGCTTCAGTAGACTTTGGTTACATATTTATTACGTTGTATGATTAATATTAAATATTCTTCATTGTATTAAACTAAAAACTAACATCATACCGTAAATTATCCTAAAATATAACAGCTTCCAGATGTTTTCTTCAGTTTTGAAAATGATACATGTACCAAATATTAACTTAGTAATGAGATGAATACACACATGTATTTCGACTTTCCTGTTCCTAAATTTGTGTAAACTTTTCTCGACATAACTAGTTGCACTGTTTCATTTTTAGGTACCTTCATCTGTTGCTTCCCATACATCGATACAACAAACCTCATTGAAAGCATCACTAGATCAAAAATTAGCTACATTTTATTCCCGTTCACGCTTACATCATCTTTCTTCTTGGGCTAAAGATCTACATAGCTTAGTCGAAGAGATGCGTAAGAATCCTGAACATAACTGTGATTTAGGCATGAAATGGTATAATCAAATTTCAAGCGATTTATCTCCATCCAGAAATAACAAAAAAACGATTGAGCTACGTGCACGATATGTTCATTGTAATCATTCTAATTCTTATCCGCTATCAAAACCACAAAAGCCTCAAATTATATTTCATATTGATATGGATTGTTTCTTTGTATCTGTCAGTATTCGAAGTAGACCAGAACTTAAAGGTAATTATTCCATCAAAATTTTCCGTATTCTGTATATTTTTAAAATTTAAGTGAACTAGTCACTTAGTGTATATATATTTATACAAAACTATTTAAATTAAAATCAAGAATGTGTATTACTATATGATAATTTTGTTTACGTATCAATATGCATACAAAGTCATTTTATATGAGATTATGTACATTATTACAGTACACGTAGTTGTAAATGTTCTCCAAATAATTCTCTTTCATTAGTTTTCCACATAACAGTGAGCTTATTAATTGATTCCTCTAAATCATGTTATGATTTACAGACATATGTTTAAGAAAAATTGTAGTGTTTGTCTAATAAACAAAATGATCATAGCATACATTTTTGATGGCGTAGACGGATTGAACTCATAGTACTTTATATTTATTGATTCACAAATTCATCTCTTGTTCTGTGAATAAGGTCTATCAAGAACATTTACAATTTCTCAAACTACAGGATTACAGGGTTAGTAATACATTTTCGTTTACTACTCTCAGATCTTCAAGTAATGAATGTCGTATTAGATAATGAAAATTTATTCATTGAATAAATACTTAAGATTTATAAACATTACTGAATATTTCTATTCTTATTTATAGTAGTCGATTTTAATAGTGATCTGAACTGAAACAAAATATACATTATTAGTTCCAGAATCGAAAATCGTTCCTCACATAGATTTCATAATTCTTAACAGCTGAGGTTGTAGAATATCACAAAACATATCCAACTACTCAATGAAACCATTTTTATTCAAATGAACTAGAAAATGAAAAAGATTTGTAGCTCAATTTCATATTTAATAAGTGTTGAGATATCTTGGTTTGACTGTTTTGATTGAGAAGTATTCATTGTCATTTCGAACTACATCATAAAGAAGTGAGCCTTTCAGATACTGATTGCAGGTCAATCTAAATATCATGCTTTTGGAAGTTTATTGATATTCTTAAAGTTTCCTTTATACAGAATATTTAAATGTTTCAGTAAATAATAAATATTAGCACAAATCTAAGTTGTTAATTCATGCGAATGTGATCAATAAATCACGCGGTCAGAGGTCAACTTAATAAAACAGTAAACTTGAATCTAAATGCAAATCCTGCGAAAACCACTTATCATAAACAAAAACCCTAGAACGCACTTATTCGGTATTTGTGAAGTAGTTTTAAAAATCTCACTTTTATTCTATAATGTCCATAATGACAATAAGAGCTTTACAAAAATTAACACCATAAAAAGATACGAATCCCTTTTCATTATGCAGTTCAAGTAAAACAAATTGTTTCAGTATTGTGTTCCTCTACAGTGTTAAAAACGAAACCGTGTTAAGTTGACCCAGTATACAAGAAGTTAAATAGAATACATATTTCATTAACATAAATGCTGTCTTTTGATTATGGAGTCAGCAACGGGCACTAAAAAACCACCTTCATTTTTTCTATCCCTAGTAAAAACTTAGTCTTCCTGACTACATCTAGTTTATGGTGGGGACACTCTTGTTAACATCTCATGCATCATTACTGTATCCAGCGAAATCCACTGGGAACTAAATGGCCTACGTAATACAAAACTATCTTAGTAACATTGCAGATACTTAAGTTTACATATTAATATGATAATCCGAGTTAATTTGAACTAAACAAATAGAAAATTTATTGTAAAAACATGAGCATAATTATTTGGAAAGATTTATCGATCACTAACGAAACTCTGACACGATTGTACAAATTTCACCAATCTACAATGATCATAGTTTATATATATATATATATATATATATATATAGCTATACAAGGATCCCACCATATTTTGTTTGTACTAGTATATGATGTAGTTGAATCGATCTGACTTCCGAATTCATATATTTTACTGAAACTTGAAAAATGTGAAAAATTATATTCATTGTGACTTTCCAACTGTCTTATATATTTTTCTTTCATCAGACAAGCCAGTTGCTATTACACATGCGAAAAGCTCACGTGGTTCATTTAACGACATTAGAAGTAGTAATAAGTAAGTTGTATTCTGAATCCTTTGAGTTAATTTCGTCATGTAATTTATTCTATTCACTTATTTTCCACTTACTGATAGGAAGTCAGTCAGCTACAACTTAGTACCACATATATACATCAGTCCAAGTTGTCATACCTCATTAGCACAGCAAGATGAACACTAAATTCATAGAAGTAGTTACTTTAATGATAGTAATATATAAAAAAGGTTGTATATAAGGATATAATACAGGAAGAATTAGTTGGCAGAAAGATATAAAGAAATTTCAATCTCGCGGTTTAAGGGAAAACATAGTGTACACACCTACGCCATTGTGATCGATTCTGAGCCACACCACCCAGTCTCCAGCCAATCGCTACGATAGTCACGCAAATCTCAATACTGATAGGAAACTTCAATTCAGTAGCCCAAGGTGTGTGATACTATTTCGGTACTTCTGTCGAGACTAATGGTCCTCAGGTGAGGTCACTACCTAAGTCTCAAATGAAACCCTGTCACAAGCGGTTAAGGCGATAATAAAAGCTAAGTCCTCACTTTATTCGGTACACATATACATACTCTTATCCATATGTTATTCGCATCGGTTTTGAAACTCTTACTTTCATTGTGTTAAGTGACTCTGATGTAGTGAGGAAAACAATTTTTATAAAGGCTCTGCAGAGTTTGGTTACATGAAATATATCGTAACCAAATCTATGCTTCGTTTAACTACCATTATAGACACACGGAATCGATGTCTGAAGTTGCTTCCTGTTCATATACTGCTCGTCAGGTAAGTGTAATTAAAGTTTGAATACCTACTTGTATCATTTAGAATTTTCTAAATTAGCACTTTCAGTGTAAGTTAGACATTGTTTAGTTAAAAATAAGGCCAACTTATACATAAATCTAAAACTATTAGTTAATTTTCCACATTGCAAAAAACCCATGAGTTAAATGTTCATATAATCCAATAGAAGTAAACAGCTGTAAAAACTCTCATTTGCCTTCCTTGAGAGTACTAAGTGATAGGCACCTACTTTTAATTCCGATAGAATAACACATGACAGATACAATCTATCCTCTTTAATCTGAATAGGCTCCTAGCTTTCAATTATTACCCATTAATCAACAAATACTTTCTTGATATGCTAGTCACTATACATGTAGCCAATTCTAGAAAGGTAAATTCCATAACTTTGTGATTTGAATAAAACCTCAATGTATTAATTGGATGCTGAGAACATATTAAGTTGGATCTCTTCATTTATCTATATAACTAATAGTATTTACATTATCGTAGATGGAATCACTTATGATCATTATTCTTAAACTAGAAATTTTAATAAACACTTCATGAGGATAGAGGAAAAGCTTATGAATTATAGTTCCGGAGAAAGACTAAGGTGAACTAAGTTTGAAACAACTTTTAAATAACTAAGTCTCCTTATTAGAATAATTTCTTAGCGTTCTTGATACTCAATTTATTTTACATAAATTTTCATACGTTTCAGGCTGGAGTGAAAAACGGAATGCTTCTAGGAAGAGCCAAACAACTATGCCCAGACTTAATTGTTTTACCGTATGAGTTCGAGGCTTACAAATCAGTATCAGAGCTGCTATATAATACCATTTCTCGGTAAGTCAGTTGCTTTTGTACGGAAATAGGCTTGTAAAACTAACCTACATTTTCGTCCTAAGTATGGCTTTCGGCAATCCTCGATACCATACAAGTAACAAGTCCTCAGTTGTAGATAGACAATCAGTGAGAAATCAAACGGTGCAGTTGATCAGTATAGTTTAACCATACCTGCCAGTATTATTGGACGATTTCCACGCCATGTCACTGATCGACTGAAGTTTCCTATATGGACTATAAGATTCTGCCTACAAAGTCATATACTAGGATGGAACATCTTCCCCTTGGTTTATTATCTAACAAAAACCATTTCAGAACCATAGCTAGTTTTTCATCTGCTTTTTTTTAGTGGAATATATCTGAAGGCTCTTACATGTTTCGACAGTTTTCTTTCGTTTCTTTACAAAATGAAAGATGTCTGGATTTTAATTTCACTGTTATTATGAAACTTCCGTCTAAAATTCATATTGGTCTATTCTATTCCGTAAATTATAGCTTCACTCGAGACATCCAAGCGGTAAGCTGCGATGAACTGTATGCCGATTGTACAGAACTACTAACTTATTCGAATGAAAACGAGATCAAACCGAAACTCTATGATGGTAATTGGGAAGTTACCTATCAAATCATTAATCCGTTAATTTTGGGTAGTTATATACGAGAATTAGTAAAAGGCATCACTGGTGGATGCACAGCTTCTATTGGATTTGGTACAAGTAAATTATTGGCACGTTTAGCCACAAAGAAGGCTAAGCCCAACGGCCAATATTGGCTTCTTGGCCGCTCTGGAAGCGCATGTCCGAAACTTGATAGGCCAACAAAAAGGGGAAGCTGGAGGTGGTATTCTTCAGAAGGGAATGTAGAACAGCTAGATGTCCACTCGGAATGTGAATTAACTGGCGATGAGTATCAGTGGCTGTGTGACCTACCCCTCACTGAAATTCCAAGTAAGATTTTTTGATCTTATATAGATAGTATACTGGATTAACGCATTACAGCTATACTTATACCGCAAAATATATTCTTATTTTTTAGGTATCGGCAGATCCCTAGCAGGTAAAATATTTCAAGCATTTGATGCAAAAACGTGCGGCCAACTGATGTCCGAAGTCTCTCACAATCAAATCACAAACTTACTTGGAAAGAAGACTGGTAGTCGTGTTTACATGGCATGTCGCGGAAAGGTTGGTCGCTTGCATTTTAAATGAAACGGACAAAATAGTCGATTGAGTGAATACTACCAATCAAAATGTGAAACACGAAGGTTCACATACACTATTTTAAAATGTCACTGACTAGTGCAAAGAATATATGAAGCTTTGATGAAAAGCATTACGAACTTCACCACAATTGTATTAAGATCTTTTAAGGCACTAATCGAGCTGAAAAGTGGTGATATATTTCTGTGTGGGTAGAGTTTAAATCCACAATGACATTTCTTGGCTCTTTTTGTATGCAGATAGGTGAAGGATAGGACCAAACAATATTCTGGTTTCAACGCTGCTAAAACCGTGATATAAAACTTAAGTAATTAATGATCAACTATTTAGGTGATATTTTTCTATGAAACTACGTAAACATTAGAAAGCCGCTCTCCTGCTATCAAATCATGATCACAATCCTCCAGTAACTCTGTCTATTAGTTACAACAGACAACATAGGTTGAACCACAGTCGTGAAATTTCCGTGTTCCCAGACAACTATAGCAAGTCCCACGCATTCGTCACTAAGTTCTTTGTGTAGCTTCACGCGACAGTAACCTGTCTTGGTTTTTGATTGGTCCTCTGAGACTTTTGAGGACGATGAAATTTACAGTAACGTTTTCTTCAAGAGCACTGTTATTCAACTACTGACACATTGAATCAAACACAACGCTAGTCGAGTCATCAAAATAAAAGTCCTATATGTTGAACTGATTAGCGATTGAAATTTATTGGCGGTAGCCCCCATTTTACATTGATGTCACTTATCAGACCTAAATTTTTGTCTTGTAAACATTTCTTACTATTTTAGGATTTAGATAGTTTGCATTTCGAGAAGGAATATAAATCTATATCAGCATCAATGAACTACGGAATTCGATTGAGCTCAGTAAGTTTCCTGAATTTGAATTTCTATTGGTGTACGAATTTTATTCGTGAAGATAATAAAATCAAAAGACCAAGTTAATCAAAACCACATCATTTATTAGATCAATGCATTTCAAAAGTCTGAATGGACACTAACTTGTATGTGAGAAGTAAAGGTCAAATAGATAACCAAGATATAAATTTCAAAAAGGGCATTAATTAGTCGATAAAGGAAGTATATAATTTCTCAAATTAACAGAAGAATGTTGATGAGAATCAGATATATTTATTGAAGACAGTAGATGGATGATAACTGTAGTGACCGCTCATGAAGTTTTGTAGGATAATTTATCGAATAGATACCTTACACAGTTAAGTTGCTGCTGTCATCAAGAAAATCAAACTGTTGTGTAATTTAGAAAAACCCTATTGTTCTACAACTTACCAACGAGATGACATCACCAGAAATCTGAAACTTTAACTATAGCAGATAAGTCATTCACCACAATTAGCTCTAGGATTAAAGACGGACAAATTCCTTCTGCGTATTGGATGGAATTAAGGTTGCGCATTCACATGTGCGTACCAAAAGAGATTAAAAATTTCGTGTGTTTTTACTTTTTAGATCCGAATAACTTTTGTTATAATTTTCATGATGGATTAACTTCAGATGAAGCAACTGACCAAATAAGCAATAATCATGCACTTAAAAGTGACTAACTTCAGCTTCACGCAAAAGTTGTCACTGATGGGATTTAACCATACCAAGAGCAAGATATGTATCAACATAAAATTGGATCACTGTCGCGCTATATCATAAACTGACTGGACTACTAAATTTCTAAATAATGGTCTAATAATAACGTACTCGCTGCGAGACCTGTGTGTTTTGGGTTTGATCCTTTGTGCAGCTATTTGTTGGCTATTTAACCCATTTGTCTTAATAAATCCTTGTAAACGTAAATGTTTTGTGTTGCAAGCGGTTAAAAAAATCTGTCAACTAAATAGCTTTTCTTGTTTTATTAAAAACCAATATTGTTGGCGGCCGACCCTCAGTCAACCATCTAACAACATAAAACTAGGTACATATAGGCGTCCAAGTTGCCATATTTCATTAACATAACAAGATGAACACCGAATTTATGGAAGTAGTTGATTCAATTATGGTAATATATAAAAGAAACTTGGCATATAAGGATATAGTACAGGAAGAAAGAATTAGTTCGTAGAAAGATATAAAGCAATTTTAATCTCACGGCTTAAGGGAAGACAAATAGTATATACACCGACGCCATTGTTATCGATTCTCAAACATATCACACAGTCGTTACCCCAACCAAGTAGTCTGCATATACCAACATGGATCAGATTAGAAGTTAATGACTTCAAGCATTAATGCCACGTTTTAGTTTGGCTGCCCCTAACGTTCTTCCAACTATCCACCACAACATTAGTCAGTAGTGCGCGTCGTGACAATCGGTGTTCAGGCATACGTAACACGTGGCCCAACTATCTCAGTTGACGAAGTTCTGAAACCTCACCAACTGATTCACCATCATTCCCTAATACCCTGCGTCAAACCTCACTATTACTCACGCGGTGATCTCAGTGCATGCGAGCAATATTTCTAAGGCATTTGTGATAAAATATAAGTGACTTACAAGTGTCTTCTACTGTTAATGCTCACGCTTCGCAGCGTATTCGTCCTTTAATTGATAGACGGGTATCTCACCTTCGTCATAGGTGACATAAGTTGGCAAGAGTCTAACAGATTTCGTCACACAACAATCCATCGAGGCTGATTAGACTTCCAATATAAGTGAAGTTGTCGATGCGTTCGACTACTTCACTCCCTATAATTAGTTCAGGTGTTCACGCAGACCAGTCCTGAAGTAACAATCTGCATTTAGAGAGGGAGAAACGCGTTCCAAGGAACCTGGCATTGTTTCTCAGTGCTACCAAAGAGACTGAATTTTATCAGTGTCCTCGCCAAACAAGACTGTTATCTGCGGTCCAAGTGCGAACAATTCTGCAGAGACGACAACAACTAGACATAACTGTTAAAAAAATCATTGCTTAAACCGAATGCATCACAGACTAAAAAACTTTTGAGACTCTAGTGCAACGGATATTTTAGATTGGCTGGCATCATGAAATATTACCCGCATTGGCATTCTGTACCAGTATAAAATAATGGAATTTTTCTGTCACCAGCCCACAATCATTTACCCAGATGAGCACAGTTCTTTACTATTTCCATTGATTTTTCGAGGAGAAATATGGACATGATATTCTCATGATCTACAAACAAGACAAAAGACTTTTAATACAAAACGCAAGACGCCATTCAGAAACCATAGAAACAATATTTCACATGAAAATGTGGCTATAAATTAATGCAGTTGTGTAATCACTGCATCTAGATCTCTACTTGATGGTATTTTCTGAAATCTGTAACTAGACGAAAAAAGATTTGTGTAGCAAGCGTAGAAAAATCTTGTGGTGCAACCACATAGTATGCTGTAAAGAGGTACAACTTCCATCGTTGCTACTGACCAACTCTACATAGAATTAATATAACAAAATTCCATGCAACATATGCTAAAAAGATGATGTGTGGTTCAGGAAGGAGATTAATGAAAGAAACTATATTTTTCATTAGCGAAGGAAACGATTCAGTATTTCCAGCCGAACAGCTAAAACAACTATTTAGTTAATTCAGGTTTCACTGAACTCGGATATATTTAGAGTCGAAACGTACGTAACTCAACTGCGTATTTCGGACAGCAATCATATAAAATACGGTTTGGTTTTTCAACGAGATTTGTTGATAGTGGTTGGTACACACCTATGTGAATAACAGAACCAGGAAATAAAATATACATATCGAATTCCAACTTATTGTGGATTATAATGAATCATCCCTATTTCTGGAATTTACTCAGAAAATGTGTCAGTGTACATAATTAACGATCCAAATTTTACTGAAGATGGAAATATTTATTTGATATGGAAAAGATTTACTGTTTATAATTAAACTTTTAGCAATCTGAATTAGAAGCCTTAGTACACTCACTATGTGAAGAATTGAGCTCTAGAATGCGAAATATTAAAATGAGTTCAATGAATGCCGGCTGTGTAGGAAAATCACTAACCGTCAGATTATACCTACGACTTCCTAACGCACCCGCACAGACTTCAAAATATATGGGTAAGTGGTATGGAGTGTATCTTTATAATGCAATTAGTTTCCTATGTACTTACACTTTTTCCAATTAAGCTTACTTATACACGGACGTTACATGTCACTAAATTATTTGAAAACAAACTTCGTTTATAACTTCGCGGCATTCCTTAACTCATCTGTATTCATGATACCGATTACCTACAGAAATGCTGACAGTGTAACTTCAACTTTCAAAAGTTGTGCGCCCAAAATATATTAACACTTGGCAACTGAAAATTGCATAACCTGAACCAGTAATGAATAACTAGTTGTATTTCAGCTTATTCTTGATTCCGTTTGTTAAAATGACAAATTCACCAAACATCAATAAAAACTACCACAATAAGTAAAATATTTACTCACATTATTACAAGACAGTAGTAGGTATATAAAAATTAACTACTAAATATCACATAGTGCACTGGAATACACTAGGTATCTAAAAATCTATCGGATAAAGGTTTACTAATTAAATCGATATAACATTAACGTCTGCACCTGCTGTCCAGTTCAAAATCTTTAGCTTGAAAAACATGGACAAACGGGTTATTTAGATAATGACAGTACTATACTCGTTCGTGCATTCGATTAATTAAGCATCCTTCGCACTAAGCTAGATAAGCGTTGAAAAGTATAAGTGCCGATACTTTTTAATGGTATTTAAAGCGAGTTAACCTTATGAAGAACGCTGTACTACTTTTGGATTTCTCTCAATATAATTTTTCGAAACATCTATTACATGTAGCAATATATGTCATTTGACTCAGAACTGACAGCATTTATAGTAATAAATGAACTTCATGGTAAGTTAGTTGTTTAACAATGTGAAAGCTGATTAAGGATTGTAAACTATGTATATGGGTCAGTTTAGAAGTCCTTACCATCAGGATAAACACTTGAACATAAAAAGATTATTTTTTAACGATACTGGGAATAATTCGATCGGAAAAGACGCGCTGTGAGATATGAGTGACAGTTTTTAGCTAAACCGACGTTTTTTTTAGTACATAATGTAAAGGTATGTAAACAAATATGTCAGCACCGCTGAAATAATGTTTGATGCATAACGTGTGAAACGCACGGAGATTTTTAGTAAGTAGCTGGGTTGTTAATATGTTACGCGAAATCAAGCCTCAATTAAGCAACGACGGAAGGCAGGCCTACTCATTTACATTAAACTTAAGCGAATATCTTATACGTAAAATTAAATCTATTTTTTACTGCGCCTGTTGACTGTTTTGTGTTGTATGTGAAAAAATTCTCGTTCTGGCTTACACCTGTTTCTCGATCATTGGTCGGATGATCGAATCAATTTAATAACAAAGTTTAGCGTTTTGTCCGACTGATCTAATTATTTAATTTCGCAAATCTTATATCTCCATAATAGCATTTCCATACAGAGGATGCGCATTTATCGATGAACATTCACGTAAAAAAATAAAGTATGAAAATATTATCTACAAAATACAAACGAAATAAAACCCCAAATTTGCGTCTTATGCATCATTTAATTATTCAGATATATATTTTCAATCTCCAGTTATATGATACGCAAACAAATCGATTCTTACTTCCTAATTTAGGTCATGGTTTATGTTCAATAACCAATCACACTATACAAATGACTGAATATACAGCAGAACCTACAATCCTTTATCGATATGCAGTAAAAACAGTTAATCGATTATGTCCTGAACCAAAGGATTTACGGGGAGTGAGTTTCCTATATATTTTAAGTATACTGAAGTTATTAAAACATATTATCTAGCTTCCTAGGAAACCTTTATTTTTGGATGGATATACAACAGAATTAAATTTAATAAAATATTTTCTGCACTATGAATGCATATAATTGAAAGTAAAATTTGCAAAACTTACCTTTAACATTGTGTTTGTCTAAATTGCGAAGTTTACCTCATAACACATTATTATCCCAAGCCAAAACAGATTTCACAATCCATGCAATTTTGATACTAACAAAGCAGACCAGAAAAAAGTCGACCATTACAGCATGAAGGAGAAACTTTACCTTAAATTGTTTTCGGAGATTAATTTCAAGACAATCGGTTACCTAACGAAAATTTATTTATCAACCAACTCGCTGAATGTTCTTACTTGAATTACAGGACCATCAAAGCAAATGGAAACTATACAAGCACTTTGATTGGCAGCACGGAAATTAATGACTACCTTAGATTTAAGTAACATTCATGAATATAGTGCCAACGTTTTAGATTGCTTCAGTTATTATGAGATGTTTCTTATCCATAATGCAATTAAAACATGAGCGTATCTTTTATCCTAATATTTACTGAGTGAAAGGAAATCTCTCCGATTTGTGTAATGACGCCTGTCTGTTTAGTAACTAAACAATTTATTAAATATTGTAAACTACTTATTTTAAACTCCGAAACGAAACACCGAGAAAATCAATCGTCCATAGTTATGACACCATTTGGAGATCAGGACTTTTAACATAAGCAAGTTGACTTGATAAGCGTATGCTACGAACAAAACGTTACATGTTGGTTTATTCTCGTAACTTGATTTAAATTTTAGGACGTAAAAATCCTGAATTACTTGATAACGAATCAAATAGAAATACAATTCTTCGAATCTTCCCAGGAAAAAATTTTTTTAAAAAGGACTTGCTATTTAGGAACACTAGGCAATTCTCCATAAAACTTTTATAAGGATAAATTATGAATATAGACTGCGATTTCAATGTAACACTCCCGTCAACGAAAAGAGGGAAGTTTCAGATTTAAATCAGCGAAGAAATGAAACAATAACCATTTGAAAGATACATGTAAAGAATCGACAGTTCGAAAAATAATGTTGAGTACATAATTTTGTTCGCTGCATGTTTTGGAACCGATCAAAATTTTACTTCTAGGAGTTTAACGGTAACCAATAGAAAGTAGGATGAGAATTTTATAGAATTCCTATTAAAGCTCCAAGAACTTTCAAATTAGTCCTACTAGTTATCTATTTATACATAAGGAATTATTATAATTTTAGAAATATGGAGATTGCGACTGGTGTTTAACTTAACATAGTAACTTTATTTTAGCCTCCTAATTCGATCAACATTTTGTGTAGGACAAGATATTAGGGATTATTAATCAGTATACAAAGCAATAGCAAGTGGTATTTACTCACCAAGATTTTGGGGACGGATCTGCAGATATCCATCTTCACGATTTATGAACAGGACAAGCAGTCCGAATAAAAGATGGGAATGAGTTCCCCAAATTGATGATTCCCTCAGTGAAAACAGACTGAAAAATATCTCAAATTTTAGAATCGAATTCACAAAAGTACAAGATAATAAATAAAATAGGTTTTGCTCTTTACTCAACTCGTTAGTGTAGCTCGTGTTGTCATTAATCAAGATGTCGACATTTCATGGATCACCACTCAACGCTCAGCATACATAGAGTTGTCAGGATATATACAAACACAATGGTGGAGAGTAAGAAACATTTTTCTATTGCATAACCAGCGCAAGCCGAAATGAAATCACCATATCCTTAACAAAATAGTAGGAAGTATGGTACATCTAGAACTTAAATTACGCTTGAAACTATATCAACGCTAAATTTACTTAAAAGATTGTCTGTGACAAAACAAAAAAGGCAAAGTCGTTCCCTAACCGAAGAGTACAAATAAAGCGGAATACTTCAAAGAGATCTGTACTGACAATCTTGTCGTTTTCGTATATTTATAATTGAGTCCTCACATAAGCGAACTATGAGGTCAAAGTTTTAAATCCAATAACACGGGAAAAAATTTATTGACCGAAATCAGTAAAAGCCAAAAATATGTAACCAGACGTCACCCTAATAAAGTTGTAAGTTACCTTAGGAATTTTTTGAATCACAAATAGCTTTGTTACAAATTTTTGTCATAAAAAAGATTTCATGAGATGTAGTTTTGAATATTTCCATTTCCTTCACACTTGACTACCATGTCCTATCAGGACACATAAGTTATCACTAGATGTTTGTAATTTATAAAAATCCACTTACATTTACCATGCATGTCAATTATTAGGTAGACTTTGCATACACAGTAAACAATGTGTCAATTTATTCTCAATGTTTTGATAAATATGGTTTAATATGTTTCCTGTACAGATAGGATTGCAAGTTCATCAGCTACAGTACGGAGGCTCAAGGGTTAATTATATGAAGATTATGAATCCATGTAGCAACGATCAAACCGTTAAGGAAAACGACCAGTCACTTCGTTTGCCAAAAACAAACAACTTGGTGAACTCCCAATGTCAGCAAATCAGGTTAGTATTATTGTTTCACAACCTACTGTTATTACCAGTTACATAGAAATGAGTCATCCTACATTTACCAGCAAAGTTGATTATGTTTGTTACATTCGATTTAATCTATACACGTGGAAACTTGTTTGGTAATAATGTGGTACAGTTTATTTTAAACTAAATTCAGAAATTAAGTAATACACTTGGATGACAAATCTGTTTGTTATGATCGCAGATACAACTAAATGCAAATTATTTGGTTGTGAACCAAATTACCTTATACTAAAGGACGCTTTTTGCCAGTACCGTCGAAAGTTTAATTAAACTACTGACCAACATGCACTACGTCATACAGCCCTACGACCCCTTTAACTTATACACATTTACAATTTGCGTTGAGTACCTTGAATATATGTAAAGATTTAGCTCTAATATTTTAAGACTTAGCCATTAACTAATGAAATGATGATCATTCAGTTTGCGCATCTAAGTAGTATCATTAGCATTATACAAAACGTGGCTTAAAGTCCAGCACTATGTTGTATCTCCTTTTTCTAAAATTAAAACATTAGCTTTATTCATGTCAGTTTTAATGGTCAGTTTACAATTGCAGTATTTACATAGACTGCTTACATAAGTTGTAAAGTGAGGTCAAACAAACATTCATCGTGTCGAAGATACCACGTACTAGTAGTCGTGGTAGTACACGGGATTGTACTAAGAGGAAGTTACCGTTACCAAAATAGCAGGACGTGATTATCAGTATATCTATAGATTGGTATTAAACGTACATATTTTCCTTTTACTAGTTATTTTTTACCGGACCAGTATAGATACAGTTGAAAGGAAGCCCATAGTCACTGACCTTGATCTACGCTAACAGGAAATACCGGAACGATAAGTTTAGGTCACATGCTTCTCTTTAAGAGCCTTGTTGACGTATAACTTGCATGTTATTTTTGTTTATCTACAACTTTTAGTGTGACCGACAATGAAGACCAACGTCGTCAAGAATTAAACATTACGGATGTTGAGAAAGATATTTCGAACGATTGTAACCGATTGGGACATTTAGAGGACAGACATAATACCAACGGAGTACTCGAAATACAGAAAAATGTGACAGTAAGTACCAATACATAAAACTGCTTGGCAATTGACAGGATAAACGTTTATCCATTAAAAGCATCACTTTATTTAACATTGAGGTGCCATAGGTTAACTGTGACAATCAACCAGATAAAACACTTGTACGGTATATGTGCCTAATAAGAAAAAAGATCTAAAAACTATAGTGGATTGATTAATAACTACAATTAATGCGTCTCTATTTTTACCATTGATATCAACTTTTAATTTTTTTAAAGCCATTTCTAAGAGTTATGATCTAACAGCGTATAATGATTTTAATCTTTTCTAGTCATGTAGTTCAAACTTTATGCCCATCGCAACTCCAGTAAAACAAAGAAACATATCAGTGAATGGCAGAAAGTTGCAGAAAAAGCGCGTATGTAAGGGAGGAAAACTATCAGTAGTCAAGAGTGCACGACTTCAAAAGATGAATTGTAAATCCATTTCAAAACACATAAGTATACCTACTCCCATGAACTCCGTAAAACCTGAGATACCACAACTCGGTTGCTTAACACAGGCAATGGAAGACCCGAGTGGCTTGTTCACCAATAAAACATTGACAGAACTTCAACAAATTTTTGGTGATTGGATAACTAGTGAAGCAGGTAGGTACAAATTAGTGTTTAATAAAAAAGTTTAGAGACAGTTACTTTTGATCGATACCCAGTTTAGTAATAAATTACTCAAGTAGCAACACATCGTTGGAAATTATCTTTACACAAGTTACACTGGGCGCAATCATTAACTCAGCACAAGTAATACCGCTACACCGACCGTGAAACGACGAATCTCTATACTTACGGTCAACTTCGTTACTCTCTAAATACAGAAAAAGTACACTGAAAGTCGAAACAATAAAAGACGTGTAGGGATATATATATTAGTAATAGCATTTATTACATCACTGATCAATAAGAAACGTTGTTTTTAATTTTCAGTGCCCCAAAACGAAGATATACAAATTTTGACCAATTACCTTTCATCTCTGGTGAATACAAATTTGGAGCGAATTCGCTCAGTACTTATACTCCTTGATAGACTTATAACAAGACTTGCGCATCCATCCGATGGTAGTTGGAGAAAAGCATATCAATCAATACTTGATACATTATCGGAATCAATTAAAGAAAAGTACAGTGGATTCAATTTGAAACTTCGACTAGCAGAGTAACAAAAATAAGTTTCCAATGTTAAAACATTTTATAAAATTTTCTTGCCAAAAGTAATAAAGTTTCTCAAGAATCCGCTTTTGAATGGTACTTTTTAAACAAGAACTGGAAATACGTAAAACACCACAAAACGATAGGATAGTGCAAATAATTTATTGCAATCTGGTAAATAATCTATCAATCATACCGTACAGGCAACCAGTGAAAAAAGTTAATACTCATAAAATTTTTGTACAGAGTAAAATTAAACGATTCATATGTACAATTTACCTTCGGTGATGATCATGATGTCGACTCGAAACTAGACGATGGTTAGAGTGCTCACGCAATATACGACCACTTTCACCGTTTGGTGCAGATCGCAATGATGAATGATGTTTGCTTTTATGTGACTTATCATAATCGATTCGGTAGGCATAGGGTGGTGATAAATGACGGCGACCGCTTTTAGATTTTACCGGATTATGATGAGTCGGGGAAAAACGCGGTTCATCACTGAAAGAAGATGTTTGGGAATCTTCTGATGAAGAGCGTGGAATATGTTTACGTTTATTATTGTAGATTTTTCTGCGATCATGCACATTAACTATGTGTTTGTTAGGACTTGATGAACTATCACCTGTTTCAGAGCCAGAGGATGATATATCATTTAATTTTTGTCGATAATTACGAGATTTGGAGTTATTTGTCAGTAAGTTTATTGAATTATAACGGTTTTGATCGGTCTCTCGGTCAGATGACGAAGATGATGAGGAGATCGAATTGTAATGATGCTTTTTAGATGAATATTTGTGTCGGTGATGTCGACGTCTTTTGTCGGATTCTGTGTTAGTAGACGGAATATTTGAGTAGGCAGCTGGTCGAATAATTGGTCGTCGTTTGGTCTCAGAGTTTTCTTGTACAGTTCTAAAATAATTTAATAAGTAATTTAAGATTACTTAACAATGAGGCAGTACAAAAATGAATTCCATCTAAAAACCAGTAAACCACATTTCTCATTTCTTACCTATGGCGAAAACGTTCCAGTATAATCCAAACAAAGAACATGGGGTAATGACTCAAACCAGCACAACCTTTCACATTTATAAGCTTGCAAAATAACTTGCAGTTTTGATACATATAGCATGGAGATACATAAGTTCAGCTTCTTCAGTTATTATTTAAACACATAAACATTGGTACGAGGGGCCAAATATATATGCGTCACACAAATCATTCAATTTGTGTATGGGCTGGAATACTGCCCGGGTGCCCAAACCGAAACAGGTAGTTTTCTTAAGGGGTCACACCCCGAGCCTTCGAGATAAAGGTCTGGTCCACAAGGCAGTGGAGCAACGTCAAGAAATGCAGTCCCATGGTGGCCGGTAACCAACGATTGGTTCATACACCATTTGTTCCTCAGAATCCTGGGGCCCATGTGCACAGTTGGTTTGGAGTCAGGGTTTTCCAACTTCCCTAGGTGGATCCTCCGTATCCACCAACCCGGTTAAGGTGCCAAACATTCGTTTTTTGTTCTCTTAACTTTGTAAACATTTCCGTCACGAGAAGGCAGTGCTTGTATACGCGTGGTCATGTGAGAGCACTTCGAGAGGGTGAGCTGACTCCCAACACCCTAGACCATATCAGGGCGTTTGGGGACTCTTCAGCTAGGGATGACCAACAAGCTGATTTGCGTGAGTTTTTGAGCCACTATTGCTTACAGCAAGAGAACCTCAGCGACACAATTCGTTATAAATCCTGTTCCCACCACGTAAATTTTCGAACTAGACACTACTAACTTTCGTATGAAACAAATTTGATATTCCAAACAGTTTATGGTTCCATTCAGATTTAATTTCTTTAATTTGATAACTCTTGTCTATATGAGTAATTAAAGATGTTGAATGCAACAATAACAACGGATGTAACCTACAACCAAGAATGACAACTCCATTGTTGGCAGTATATATAATATATATTTCGATAATGAAGTTGTAAGAAACGAAATTAAACTCATGAAACTGAAAGCTGAAATTTTCACAAAATAATGGGCGAACCGAGAGCAATTGACCTCAAGAAAGTAATAATAGCTTATTTTACTAAACCAAAATACTTTAGCCATATATTACAGGCTGAAAATTTATGTTCTACAAATACCCATTGTGACAACCACGAAGACTTAAACTTAAAACACCCCACTTTCGTAAACAGGTACCAAGTTTGATTTCAAGTTTACTTGAATCCGTGTTGTTAGGTAGCATCACGAGCCTTTCTACAAAAATCGTGGCTTGAAGATTGTGTAAACTAACACCAACTGCTGGTTTATACGACATTTCAGACTGGAAAATTTTATGGGTTAATGACGGCTAGACACGATAAATCCACAAAATATTTCCTATCTGTTAAACTTAATTAAAATTAGGTGAGTGGTTTTCAGGCCCATAAGCCGTTAAAGAATTGGTCTGCAGACAAATCCAGCGCCACCCAGGAAAATGATATGATTCAACAGAGAAAATAGTTTAGCGAACTTATTCATTGGTAATCAAAGATTATAAACTATTCTGTAGGCTAACAAGGAGTAGACTGACGAATTTAAGTTTGACGTCCTCCACAATATATGGTTCATCCAAAATTCATGGTAGGTTTACAAACACAGAACAGGCCTACCAAAAAAATTCTCGACAACCAATATCCGAATACTATCAAAGATGTGTCGTTAAGCAACGCGCGTAATTATGTGATCAAATGTGCAACAACGTCAGAAAGCACAAAGATTCATGTATGAAGCTGAGTCATAAAATGTAAAACGATTATTCGACCCCAACGACTGAGTTGAGTAACCAAAAAAGTACATTATAATTCTACATGTGCTCATGAAATGACAGACGCATCAGACTGACATCATTAGGTGGCGTAGGCTGGGAATATTTGTTGAGCAACAACTTACAAACATTTAACAAATATTTATTGAAAAGAAGCTTACCTATCAGGCTTCTTATTCGAAGCATCGGATATATTATCTATCTGATTAGGTTCAACCAATGTTTTTGGAGATCTTGGTGAAACATCTTCACTTGTTTCCCGTTTATGTGGAATAATTGACGGGTCAGTACCCACTTTGGACAACTCGTCTGTGATCATACCAGATTTTGATGCTGTAATCGTTGCTGCGACCGCTTTGGCATTAGCTATGGCGCTTGCTAAAAGCGAGTTTGGAGCGAAAACAGTAGTAGTATCTTCAGGCTCAGCTTTACTATCTACTGACTTCTTATTCCCATTAGGCTTGTTTTGATTCTTAGATTTGGATAAATGATTTGGGGGTGAGATATAACCGAAACTGTGGTCGGACCGGGTACTTGGGGGTGTTGTGACGGTTTGTTGTTTTCTGAGCTCGTTTTCTCGTTCCTTTGCTTCTGCCTGAGATTTCCTGAGTTGAGCTAGAACTGATTCGAGTTTCCCAACATCTACCTTTGGACGAGCATATAAACGTAACAAACATAAAGCGATTTCATGGACAGATTCTTCGCTCACACTGAACATTTCCCACCAAGCTGGGTGGCGTGGCAGAGGAATATTGAGCTTACATGATGCCAGATAAATGCAACCACATGCAATTGCTTCCGGAAGATAACGTACAAATATATCAGTTCGAAGACTGTCGTTCATGTAATTCCTAAAATGCGTCAAGTTTTAGGTGGAGATTGAGAATACTAAGTTTTAGATCTTTTAAAATGATTCACAATAAAGAGATACAACAACAATTAGAAACCTTATTTGAGCCTTTCCGATTTGGATACAGCCACACCAAATCTATAATTTGTAACTTAGAGAGGTACAGATATCTGAAGTTAGGAAAATAAAACACCATCGGCTTTAATTTTTGAGCACTATTTTAATTTTATGGGTATTTTTCAAAGAGTTGGGCAGGTCATTAGTTAATTAGCAGAGTACGCACCACAATCACAATATAGTAAGATTTCAGTAATGCAATGTAATTGTCGTCTAAAAGTAGTTTTGTAAAAGGTTATATTATCACACTTAATTAGTAATTACACGTACCAGATTCATTGTCTTGTATCTAAAAAAAGAAGTGAACTTGCAGTCGCCTATTTGATACACTCGATCCTACTGACTAGCGAAACGATTATAGCCTCATAATTATCAGACAAAGCGAGCCCAGGGATGTTAAAAGATACTTTGAATTCAGTGTTGTAAAACACGCAAATTTAAATATCGACAAAAAATTAGCCTTGAACACAACCAATCCTTATTCTTATCGTGTTTCGGCCCGCAAGTGTATGGCGCAGCACAAAAATATATAACGTATTCTATTTCTCTACGATTGGATTTTGTGACCCACAGACAAACACGGACGGCAATTACAATACGATCGATAAACAGGAAATTAACAAACAAGCAAAAACTGATATATTTCGTACTTAAAAATTAATTTTAACATGCTTATTTGTTAGATGAATTCAATGAAATAGTTTTAGGAATGTACAGACAAACAGTTCAGAATCACTTTCTACTTAGAATCCTCAATTACTTTATAAATCTCTGTGGCTCACGGTAACTGTTATGACCTTAGATTGTGATCGATCCGGTGACAGTGACACGTATACACGAACGAACGGCCTAGAGTTCTGATTAGTCCTGCTTCCCTGTATAGCCCAGCCAATTGAGTCCAGAACACGAGTTTCAGCCTCGGATATATGAATCACTATATTTCAAACCTACTTTGTTTATATACCAGTCAAGCATACCACAGCGTACCATAAAAATAGAAAACAACATTTTGTACAAGTGAACAGATATCAACCAATAGGAAATGTTCATTTAAAGTCCAAGGACACCATTGGACTTAACATGATAATTATTGGTCTATTCCTGCGCATCCACAACACCTCCCCTTTTTTTGAAGATCCGGAGTTGATATCCGGATTTTGAAATTTTCTGGGTTCATCCTCCCCCACGAAATAACGTTGGGTCCTCATATACCCAAGCAACAGTTAGTCTGATTTGAATTAAAGCATATTTCGCGCATTGAGTAGAGGGTTCACTAAGACTGACTAGATGATGAGGATTAGCGACACCAGACATGAGGTCATTAAGGTTTGATTCTTGTGCAACATATTCTTCAGACCTCTTCAAAATTCTATCACTGGATAATAGGTCACTAAAACAAACAGCATCTTTGAAATTCGTATTAGATTTCTGACCATTATTTGATGCACGGGAAACATTTTCTGACACGAGAGGTTCTTCTTGTAAGCTGGATACCTCACATCTTTCAGGCACAGTGGGATTTGAACCCACAACAGGAATGTTTCTGAATTTGACATTTCTGAACAACTGGGCGGATCATGAATGATTGTCTCGTTTACATCACTGGTCGTCCGGGATTCACAGAGGCTTTTATAGGCAGCTTCATATGTTCTGCAGTTGTTTTCCAGCTCAGTCTTCAGATGAGAAATGAAATTACCAACTTCTGTTGCATTTCCGAAACATGGAAAATTTACCAACAGTGTGCGTAAATTTTCTAAAAAATTCAACTGGCTATTTTTGAAACACTGCTGTTGTTGCTCAAGTAGAAGCTGTAATTGATCGGAACAGGTAGTCATTTTTTTTCAGCACCAGCAATGAAAATTAACTGTAGGAATAATGACCAATGTTGCTCAAGGACGCTGGTGACAATCTGGATGCTGATTGGTCGAAACAATTAGCCTGAATCGCGTCCAATTACAAGGTTCAAAATTTTTCTCCACCCCGTCGCCAATTGTTATGAATTTAAGTTGATGTCGGTAGATTTCTACCCTGTGTTATCGATCGATTACAATGACACGCAAACACGTACGGACAGCCTAGAGTCTCGATTTGTCCTGCTTCCCTGTCTAGCCCAGCCAATTGAGTCCAGAACACGAGTTTCAGCCTCGGATATATGAATCACTATATTTCAAACCTACTTTGTTTATATACCAGTCAAGCATACCACAGCGTACCATAAAAATAGAAAACATTTTGTACAAGTGAACAGATATCAAACAATAGGAAATGTTCATTTAAAGTCCAAGGACACCATTGGACTTAACATGATAATTATTGGTCTATTCCTGCGCATCCACAACACCTCCCCTTTTTTTGGAGATCCGGAGTTGATATCCGGATTTTAAAATTTTCTCGGTTCATCCTCCCCCACGAAATAACGTTGGGTCCTCATATACCCAAGTAACAGTTAGTCTGATTCGAATTAAAGCATATTTCGCGCATTGAGTAGAGGGTTCACTAAGACTGACTAGATGATGAGGATTAGCGACACCAGACATGAGGTCATTAAGGTTTGATTCTTGTGCAACATATTCTTCAGACCTCTTCAAAATTCTATCACTGGATAATAGGTCACTAAAACAAACAGCATCTTTGAAATTCGTATTAGATTTCTGACCATTATTTGATGCACGGGAAACATTTTCTGACATGAGAGATTCTTCTTGTAAGCTGGATACCTCACATGTTTCAGGCACAATGGGATTTGAACCCCCAACAGGGAATGTTTCTGAATTTGACATTTCTGAACAACTGGGCGGATCATGAACGATTGTCTCGTTTACATCACTGGTCGTCCGGGATTCACAGAGGCTTTTATAGGCAGCTTCATATGTTCTGCAGTTGTTTTCCAGCTCAGTCTGCAGATGAGAAATGAAATTACCAACTTCTGTTGCATTTCCGAAACATGGAAAATTTACCAACAGTGTGCGTAAATTTTCTAAAAAATTCAACTGGCTATTTTTGAAACACTGCTGTTGTTGCTCAAGTAGAAGCTGTAATTGATCGGAACAGGTAGTCATTTTTTTCAGCACCAGCGATGAAAATTAACTGTAGGAATAATGACCAATGTTGCTCAAGGACGCTGGTAACAATCTGGATGCTGATTGGTCGAAACAATTAGCCTGAATCGCGTCCAATTACAAGGTTTGAAATTTTTCTCCACCCCGTCACCAATTGTTATGACTTTAAATTGTGGTCGATTTCTACCCTGTGTTATCGATCGATTACAATGGCACGCAAACACGGACGGACGGCCTAGAGTTCTGATTAGTCCTGCTTCCCTGTATAGCCCAGCCAATTGAGTCCAGAACACGAGTTTCAGCCTCGGATATATGAATCACTATATTTCAAACCTACTTTGTTTATATACCAGTCAAGCATACCACAGCGTACCATAAAAATAGAAAACATTTTGTACAAGTGAACAGATATCAAACAATAGGAAATGTTCATTTAAAGTCCAAGGACACCATTGGACTTAACATGATAATTATTGGTCTATTCCTGCGCATCCACAACACCTCCCCTTTTTTTGGAGATCCGGAGTTGATATCCGGATTTTAAAATTTTCTCGGTTCATCCTCCCCCACGAAATAACGTTGGGTCCTCATATACCCAAGTAACAGTTAGTCTGATTCGAATTAAAGCATATTTCGCGCATTGAGTAGAGGGTTCACTAAGACTGACTAGATGATGAGGATTAGCGACACCAGACATGAGGTCATTAAGGTTTGATTCTTGTGCAACATATTCTTCAGACCTCTTCAAAATTCTATCACTGGATAATAGGTCACTAAAACAAACAGCATCTTTGAAATTCGTATTAGATTTCTGACCATTATTTGATGCACGGGAAACATTTTCTGACATGAGAGATTCTTCTTGTAAGCTGGATACCTCACATGTTTCAGGCACAATGGGATTTGAACCCCCAACAGGGAATGTTTCTGAATTTGACATTTCTGAACAACTGGGCGGATCATGAACGATTGTCTCGTTTACATCACTGGTCGTCCGGGATTCACAGAGGCTTTTATAGGCAGCTTCATATGTTCTGCAGTTGTTTTCCAGCTCAGTCTGCAGATGAGAAATGAAATTACCAACTTCTGTTGCATTTCCGAAACATGGAAAATTTACCAACAGTGTGCGTAAATTTTCTAAAAAATTCAACTGGCTATTTTTGAAACACTGCTGTTGTTGCTCAAGTAGAAGCTGTAATTGATCGGAACAGGTAGTCATTTTTTTCAGCACCAGCGATGAAAATTAACTGTAGGAATAATGACCAATGTTGCTCAAGGACGCTGGTAACAATCTGGATGCTGATTGGTCGAAACAATTAGCCTGAATCGCGTCCAATTACAAGGTTTGAAATTTTTCTCCACCCCGTCACCAATTGTTATGACTTTAAATTGTGGTCGATTTCTACCCTGTGTTATCGATCGATTACAATGGCACGCAAACACGGACGGACGGCCTAGAGTTCTGATTAGTCCTGCTTCCCTGTATAGCCCAGCCAATTGAGTCCAGAACACGAGTTTCAGCCTCGGATATATGAATCACTATATTTCAAACCTACTTTGTTTATATACCAGTCAAGCATACCACAGCGTACCATAAAAATAGAAAACATTTTGTACAAGTGAACAGATATCAAACAATAGGAAATGTTCATTTAAAGTCCAAGGACACCATTGGACTTAACATGATAATTATTGGTCTATTCCTGCGCATCCACAACAGTAACCATACCAAACTACAATTGATATTATACAGTCAGTCAGTCAGCTACAAAGTAGGACCAGGCACTTATATGCATCAGTCCAAGTTGCCATACCTCATTAACAC